TTCCGGGAGGGTCTAGTCCTTACCCTAGGTGAAACGACAGACTATGGAACACCCCATGGAGGGCCTCACCCTCCCTGGGAAATGAGGGAGTACTGGGGGGGGTTGGTGGGAGGGTGTGAGAGGAGGGAAGGGAAAGGGAGAGGGACCTGGAATTGATATGTGAAGCAACCTTGTTTCTAATTTAAATTTAACTTCAAAAATAAAAAACAATTAAAAAAAGTAGTAATCAAGAAACCAAAGAATTTTGTCAGGCACTATATAATAGTTAACAATAACACTATCATTACATTTTAAATAAAAACTATCTCTTACATCATGTGATTGTGAGCCAAGATACATCTTTTAATGTTCTTTTAAAGGTAAATAGACCTTATTTTCATAATTGAAAGCAAAGGGGCTTTACATTTTCAATATAATATAAGATGTGGTTGCCTAGCAATATTCAAATGAGCTAGAGTACCTTTTTTGGACTGGTTATAAAGCAGTTGTCCATGTGAATATGTGTCAGATTTAGAAATGGAAGAGATTTTCAGCACTTAAATTTTAGCCAAACAGGACACCATATATCAAATAAAAAATCCAGAGTCAATAATTTCTATGTAAATTTTCTAGTCAATAATGATAATTTTATGTGCATTGTTTGATCAGGGTCATAATCACCAACTTTTCTAAGAACCTGATGTGTTTTTCACAGAATTGGCACAGAAAAGCCTGGCCTTAATTCTTGTCACGACACTATTTTCACAATTTATTTCTTTCTATTTTTGGCCTATATTGCACATTTCTTGGTTTCAACTGTCATTACCAAGCCCCAAGGTCCCTTAGCAGAAGCTTGATGTATTTTAGTCCAAGGTTTAAGTGCTTTACTGGAAACATCTGCTGTGGTTCCTTTCAAACTGCATTGTACACCCTTCATGTCTTCAGAGATATGTACAATGAAAGAACTTCTGAGGTATCACCATCCCTGTTTTCTAGTTGTACTAAAAAGCAATACTAATAAAAATCCACATGGTATTGGCATAAAAACAGATGGTGGAAAATGGAATTGGATTAAAGACCCAGATATAAATCCATCCATACACCTATGGACACCTGACTTTTTTGACAAAGAAGTCAAAATGATACAATGAAAAAATAGAAAGCATTTTCAGCAAATGGTACGAGTCAAGCTGGGTGTTGCCATGTAGAAGAATACAAATAGATTCAGATCTATCACTCTTCACAAAACTCAAATTCAAGAGGATTAAAGACTTCAGCAGAAAACCAGACACACTGACCCTGATAGAAGAAAAGAGTGGGGGAATAGCCTTGAGAGCATTTATAGAAGAGACAATTCCTGAACAAAACACCAACAGCACAGGCACTAAAACTGAATAAATGGTATGAAACTGAAAAGTTTCTGAAAAGCAAAGGACACTGTCAAAACGACAAAATAGCAGGTTACAGAATGGGAAAATTTCTTCACCAAATGCATATCTGACCGAGGACTAATTTCCAAAACATATAAAGAACTCAAGAAACTAAACACTAAAACACAGATAATTCAATTTTAAAAATATGGATTACAGATCTAAATAGATAATTCCAAGCATAGGAATCTCAAATGGCTGAGAATCACTTAAAGAAATGTTCAACACTCTTAGTCATTAGGGAAATGCAAATTAAAATGACACTGAGATTCTGTCTTATACCTGTTAGAGTTAAGATAAAAAACACAAGTGCCAGCTCATGCTGGAGAGGATGTGGAGCAAGGGGAACACTCTTCCACTGGTGGTGGGAGTGCAAACTTGTATAGCCACTTTGGAAATCAATATGGCAGTTTCTTATAAAATCAGGAATCAATCTACCTCAAGACCCAGCTACGCCACCCATGGACTTGTATGCAAAGGACACTCTACCACACCAAATAGACTCTTGCTCAACTATGCTCATCACAGCTTTGTTTGTAATAGCCAGAACCTGGAAACAGCTGTCCCTTAACCTAAGAACTAATAATGAAAATGTGGTACATTTACACAATAGACTATTACTCAGCTCTTAAAAACAACAGCTAAGAGATTTGCTGGCAAGTGAATGGAACTAGAAAAGATCGTCCTGAGTGAGGTGGCCCAGACCCAGAAAGACAAACATGCTTTGTACTAACTCATAGGTGGATATTAACTCTAAAGTAAAGGAGAACCATGCTACAACCCACAGATCCAGAGAAGCTAAGTAACAAGAAGGGCTCAAGGTGGAGATGCATGAATCTCACTCTGAAGGGAAACACTGCGACATGAGGAGAGTCTGGAAGGGGATTGGGGATGGGAACATGAGGGATTATGTGGGGAGAGAGTACTGGGAGAGACAACTTGAATCTGGGGGCATCTCTGGGGTGAGCTAGAAACATAGAGCAATGAAAACTTATTGGAATCTATAAGGGGACCCCAGCTAAGACTACTAGCAATAGGAGATTGGTGCCTGAACTGGACATCTCCTATAACAAGGAAAGACTTTCAGAGGAGGGATTGGGACACCAATCCAATTCAACCTACAATTTGTGATGTCTACAAGATGTACCAGGGTAAAGATAGCACAGAAAATGTGGAAGTGATCAACTAATAACGGGTACAACCTGAGACTCATACCCTGAAAGGGAGCTAGCTCTACCTGAGGGCCAGGACCCAGAGGCAGGATACCCCAGAGACCTAGGAGAGAAGCAAACATGACTGACAAAAAAAGAAGAAAACAACTGAAATGATTCCTAATGACATTCTGCTATTCTCATATATCGGTGCCTAGCCCAACTGCCATCAGAGAGGTTTCACCCACAAACTGATGGAAACAGATGCAGAGATCAACAGCCAAATACTAGGCAGAACTTGGAGAATTCTATGGAAGTTGGTGGAGGTGTGTTTTAAGAGAAGCTTTTTCTTTGCTAGCTGCTTTGGTGTATCCTCTGCCAGCCGCCTGGGCTCTGCCGCTTTGTAGTCCCCAAATAACACACAAGACGCTGTATTAATTATGAAGCTGTTGGCCTTGTTTGTCTCTTACTGGCTAGCTCTGACTTAAGTAATTACCCCATAATTGTTAATCTAAGTATGTTTCTTACCGGAGAATAGTTCCAAGCTTCCTACCCCCATGGTGTTACATGTTGACTCTCTTGTGTTTCTCCTTCCCAGAATCCTCCTGGACCCCTAGCCCCACCTATCTAGATTCCTATAGGCTCAACAGTACTTTATTGACAAATAACAGGCAAATAACAGGACTTCCCCAACAGGTGTGTGTGTGGTTGGGGGTTGTAGGAGCCAAAGAGGTCAAGGTCACCACCAGAAAACCTAGAGAACCAACTAACCCGGGCTCATGGAAGCTCAAAGAAACCGAATTGGAAACCATGGAGCCTGCATGGGACTGGCCTTAGTCCTTTGCATATATGTTACAGTTGTGTAACTTGGTTTTTGTGTGAGACTCCTAACAGTAGGAGCAGGGGTTGCCTTTGACTCTGATGCTTGTTTGGAGGGCCCATTCCTCCCACTGGATTGCCTCCTCTAGCCTTTATAGATGAGGAGGAACTTACTCTTACTGCAACTTGATAGACCTTGGCTGGCTGATATCTGTAGAAAGCCAGTCTGTATTTGATGAGAAACAGTGGAGGTGGAGTGAATGGTGGTGGTGGGGGAAAGCAGAGAGGAGATGGGGAGGCATTGGGAGGAAGTGAGGGAATAAAAACTTTGGTTGGGATGTAAAAACAAAAAAGTAAATCAAAATGAAGAAAAAATAAAAGCCTTTAGAAAAAGAAAAATATCTAAAATATCTTCTAAATAGAAGATGAAGATTAAAATACCAATTTTTCTCTAAAATGATTAATGTATTCTCAGGTTCTATAAACTTTTATTTGGTTAAACTAAAAGATCAATGAATACCTATACATTATATATCAGACACAGAGATTAATTTATTTTCTTGAGAAGTCTATTTTATATTGGAATTGTGAAAATGTTGATAAATTATTATAGAACATTCCAGCAAAAATAGTAAAAACATACAGATTTTTTTATTAATGATATCAAACTTCCATCTACCACCAGACTGAGTGAACATAGCAAAACTTCAAAATGTTTAATAGAAAATGAAATAAAAGAGAATTAATTAATGGGGTGCCATTTAAAAATTATTTGCAAGGTTAAAAGAGGGGAAAGGAATCAATATGTTTTGAATAGCTTCATCGACTTGCTTTTTCATTGAAGCTGATTTAAATCTCAAATGAATCATTGGTGAGAATTTTAATAAAGAAAATATGGCAGTCACAACTAAAAGTCTACAGCTTTAGCATACCTCAATAGAGATGTTAACACTAAATTCTTCAAAACAATAGTCAAAGAGATGAATATAGTGAATTGACTTGGACCACTCGAAAGTACTTAAGGTATTCATGGTAAATTTGACATCATATAATTTTAGATGATAGTTTTGTTTTAGATAGCTATTCTTTTATACCGGATTCCTCCGAGTACAATTTAAAAATGTCTTAAGGAGTCTTTATATGTCTCAAAACAAACTTAGGTCATTCGTTTACAAGTGCGTCTTGGAGACATTTCCTGATCACTGGTTCCTTAGTACCCTTGAAGTATTAAAGGCAATGTTGATGACCCATAAAGAAGTCTATTTAAGGAAGAATGTCTATGAAACAGCTGAAACCTCTCTGGCAAGGGCAGGTTTATTCCGAGGGCAGTCAAGGGACACATCTCCATCAAGGTGGTGAAGTCCCAGCACACCAGAAGCTCAAAGATAAAATTTCAGAAGTCTTTTTTGTTTTCTTTATTTTTCTCATAAATAGCAACAGCAAAAACAGCAGCAACTACAACCCTCTGAGCTTTCAAATATAACAGATCCTTCTAACCAAGTAACATATTAGAAAAAAAGTAAAATGTGAAAACATGACCTTGAGGAAACATGAACAGTTACTCTTATAGCGTTAAAGAACTAAAAGTAAGCAGGGCGCCGGCACAGGGCACAGAACTCACAGTTGTTGTGTACGCTGCTTCTGGATCGTCTTCCAGTACCCGGGAGAGCCCGAAATCAGAGACTTTGCACACTAGGTTGCTGTTCACCAGTATGTTCCTGGCCGCTAGGTCTCGATGAACGTATCCCATATCAGAAAGATACTTCATGCCTGACGCGATGCCCCGCAGCATGCCGACTAGTTGGATGACAGTGAAGTGGCCATCATGCTTCTGTGAGAGAATTATACCTGTTAGCTGACTGATTTTCATACAATCTTCATATGTATATGCAGTAAATTTAACCATGGATTTATTGCACGGGATCTTTAGAAGATGCCCATCAATTCTGCTGACCATTGCACGTCTTCCTAGCAAAATACAAGGCCCTTGTGTGACATTTAAAAGAGGAATAAAAACTAGGGTTGTGAACTAAACAAAAATAGAGGGCAGCCAGCCAAGTCAACCTCCAGAAAAAAATTATGTCAGACTTTTTTTTAAACAAGAACAAATGAAAGTAAAATGGTATGAGAGAAAAGACTGCAGAAAATACACAATGGGCATTCCATATTTATAAGCATTGCTGAGGCTGCACAAGTAGGCAGGAGAGCAGCAGAACCTGTGATTGGGAGAAACTCATGTGGTGACTAGAAATACTGTGAAAAATGTTAATCAGGGTAGGCCATTCAAGAAAAAAAAACCCAAAGTTATATAAATAAGAAATGGGTTTAGGAAAGTTGAAGATAAAATAGAAAACACAAGTAAACAGAAAATAACTATTTTTCAAATATAAAGGAAAATATTAGAAGTTGAGTGGAAAGAAGACATTTTAGCTCTTGGCTGAAAGAATTATACTAAATACCACAATGTGAATAATAAGCCAGGCAGGGTAGTGTTTCATCACAACCAACGCATAGCATCTTATCCTCTCAGAGTAAAAAAAATGCATAATTTACAAAAGAGTATACAGTGCAAAATGCAAGTACAGGCAAAGTGAACTGCAGATAGTAGTTTTGGTATCAGAGGAGATACAAATACAAATGTATATCAACTTACTAATTGTTTGGAGACGGTTGTCTTCAACGAGTTACGGAGAAACATAAAAGATTCAAGTCATTTTTATATACCAGGCCAAATTAATTTATAAAAGGTATTTAAAATGGATATATATATATATGTGTGTGTGTGTGTGTGTGTGTGTGTTTAAGACATTAAGGCGATATTATCTTATACAGTAGAAACACAATATAGATATTTAATTTTTTCTGTGTTACATGCTGTTTGTTATAAATATTTGATAAAAACCACAGAGTAACTTTGGCACAAGGGTGATGAAACCTACTGCATCTCTCACAGTGACACTGCCTCCTCCATAATTCTGTCCCACTGGTTATTTAGAAGAATAAACTTACATATCCATTGTACAAACTTGGCCTTATCATTTCATCTTATCTCTCTGATAGCTCTTGTATTATATCTACAAAGTCAAGTACAGAGTAGAGAAAGGAAGCTGTTCTTAAAAGTACCTTCCTTATAGCAAGCATGTCTATTAAAGTAGGCTCTTCAGTATAATTAATGTACAAAAGGTAACCTAGCAAAGAAAACCTTTGGTGTTATTAGCTCTTTATGATCCCAATCCATCTTCATAGATGGTCCACTGTTAGATGGAAATCGGCCTCTTCTATCATGTGTTCTATCTACCTCTCTTCCGTTAGGTCTCAAAACTTGAGAATTGAAAATATAAATTCTATTTTTTCTGGAAAGAGTTACACTACACTTTAGAGGTAATTCTTCTTTCTCAGAAAGGAAAGTTCTTCATAGACAACAGATCATAGATGTTATCAGGCAGAATCTCTAAACAGTTGGAAGAGTTCATGGACCATGAGGAAATTAGAGCCTCTTTCTTTTCTTTGAACAAGTGTAGTGGTCCAACCCAGAGTTTTCATGAGACTCACTTGTAAAATACATAGCCACCTCCTGGATTGTTTTAATAATTGTTAATAGTTAATGAATCATTGTTATTATTACATGAAATTTTATAACTACAATGAATTAGAAAATTCTGCTTTCTGAAAAATACGTTGTTACTCTAAAAACCTATTTACTTGATAGAAAAGAGCTGTACAAAGCCATGTGGAAATACATCTTCCAGTCTATCCTGAGGATACCACAAAGAAAGAAATTACTACTTAAAAAGTATGTCTCAGCCGGGCGGTGGTGGCGCACGCCTTTAATCCCAGCACTCGGGAGGCAGAGGCAGGCGGATCTCTGTGAGTTTGAGGCCGGGCTGGACTGATAGCCTCTGAAACAATACAGAGAAACCCTGTCTCGTAAACCCCCCCTCCCAAAAAAAGTATGTCTCTTCTTATTAGCAAATGCAAACTGTAAAAAATAGTAAGCTTCATTATGGCCTTTACATGCACATATACAAGGCATTTTGTTGATAATTACCATCCCATTATTTATACATTGCATATCACTTGCTTTTCTTCCCTTTACTGGTACCCCACCAATTTCTATCTTGTGTTTTTGTTAAATTTGCCTTTATTCCTTAAATTTTATTTATGAGAGGAAATGTTATGTTTCCAAGACTGGCCAATCTCTCTCTCCCTCTCTGTCTCTCTGTCTCTGTCTCTGTCTCTGTCTCTGTCTCTCTCTCTCTCTCTGTGTGTGTGTTTGCACATGTGCATGCAGGGTTGATATTGGGTGTCTTCTATTACTGTCCAACTTTTAAAAACTTGTTATTTTGAGGCCAAGGCACTCACAGAACCTGCAATTTTCACCTACACTGGCTGATCAGTGGGCTGCCTGTGAACTCCATCCCAGCTCTGCTGCTGTAGCCACAGGCTTGCAGATGTGCACTGCTGCACCTTGTCCTTTATGTGGTTGCTGGGATTACAACCTACGATCCCATATGTGGGCATTTTAGCGAATGATCCATCTTTCCCATTCTGATAGTAGCTAGTTTTGCTTAAAATGATAACCTTCAGTTTCATTCATATTCTAGAATAATTACATTAGTTTCATTCTTGTTCAGTGGCTGAAGAATGTACCACTATTTATATACACCATGCTTTGTCTTCTGTGCATACATTGATGGGCTCCTATGCTGCCTCTGTGATGTGTCTATTGTGAACGTGCTGTGATGTAGGTTTGTACAGGTGTCTCTATTTTATGCTGCCTTAGATTCCTTCAGGTTGTAACCCATGAGCAGGTTATATGGCAGTTCGCGTTTTAGTTTTTTGAAGATTACTCATACTGGGTTTCAAATGGCTGCGCTGGTTTACATTCCCACCAATGCTATTTAAAGGTTCCACTCTCGTGCCTTCACCAACAATGCACCACATCCAACAGCTTTAGTCACACCGAGTTCCCATAACATAACATCCATCCTTTTATAGCACGCACCTTACTAGAATTTAAGAATTATTTTCATCACCCCCAAGAGAACCTCCTATGGACCATCACACCCTGCTATGCTCAATAATCCTGCCATACTAGGCAGCTACCAGCCTACTTTCTACCACAATGGGGTTCTATGTGCTCTCACTGTTTCCTAAGCAGAAATAGGCAGCTCTTTAGGACTATCTTCTTTCACGTTGTAGCCTAATGTTTCCGAGACACTTTCACATTGTAGCACATATCAGTATTTGATCTGTACTATTATATTTGATTCATTTTGTATACATTTAAAGTTAGTATTTGAATTACTTCCATGCTTTAGTGATTGTGCCTGTGAGTTTTATTGGTTTGTTTAATGTTGTTATCAACACTTGAAGAGACTGATTAACTGCTTTCCTGCCAACTGCATGACAATTTGTGAGATTCTAGTGTGTGAAAGCAATCAGAACTACTTTGTACATGTTGTTTCAAAGGCCACACACTGTTCCTTATCAATGTCTAATTCATTTGGCCAATACTTCTTTTGGAGTCGATAAAATCAACACCACTTTCATAATAGCAACATGACATATATCTATCTCCTTTTTATCACTAGGTTTGTATTTATGTGAATGTAGCAAAGTTCTAATAGGTAAAAGGTCAGGAGACTAATATGAATCAAGATTGTAACTTGCAAGTAAAGTAGACTTATTTTTATGGACTTTGACACATAAAATCTGAATTGTCCTTAGAATAGCAACAAAACTTTCATTTCCCTAAATCTTGACTTTGATTACACAGTTGCAAGATCAACGCCTTTGAGACAGACTAAAAGCAGAACTGGACATGGGGAACATTAAATGGAAGTACATTAAAATAATCCTTCAGGGACAGGTTCGGGCTTGTATATTTGGCATAGTCAATTATCAATCCAGACTGACCCTGTAAAACTCCAATAGCCTTTGGTTATACAACTTTCTGTAATCATAATTATTTCCAAGGCAGGGACTTGGGTAAAAGACATTAACATGCAAAGTCAGATGTCCCAGAATGTAGGACATTCTTTCCGAATGAGAGTTTACTGTAACATGGTAGTTTCTTAATGCAAATCTTTTTATAATCTATCACCCTGAATAGCTACTAGTTACAATTTCTGCATCTTTCAATCTGTCTGCTTAGCTCAACATTCATGCATCCATCCATGTATCCACCCATGCATCCATGCATTCATCCATGCATCATGCATCCATCTATGCATCCATGCATCCATCTATGCATCCATGCATCCATCCATGCATCATGCATCCATCTATGCATCTATGCATCCATGCATCCATCCATGCATCCATCCATCCATGCATCCTTGCATCCATGCAACCATCCATCCATCCATCCATGTATCTCTCCATTGTTCATAAAATATCACTCAGGTGAGCCCTTTCAAGCTTCAAGCCCCAAACCCCAGCGAGTCCAGCTTCAGGTGAGATTGGGTCTCCAGTAGGACCCCCTGCCCAACACTTATCCTCTTGATCTTCCGGGGCCGCTCCTGGCATCCAGAAGACCCGCCCACACAGGAAAGACATCAGCCCTTCCAAGACCCCAACCCCAGCGAGTCCAGCTTCAGGTGAGATTGGGTCTCCAGTGGAGACCGCCCGCCCAACACCCATCTCCTTGATCTTCCGGGGCCACTCCTGGCATCCAGAAGACCCGCCCACACAGGAAAGACATCAGCCCTTCCAAGACCCCAACCCCAGCGAGTCCAGCTTCAGGAAAGACATCAGCCCTTCCAGGCCCCAAACTCCATGTCAGCATCCCCAGCTTCAGCTGCAGGAAGGAAGGAGACCAGTGGAGAT